ATTTGAGCCCAGTTTTTTTTTCTCCTGCCCAGGCAGGGGCTCGGACTTGAAGATCTACAAGGTCCCTCTGACCCGACTGCTGTGACTCTATGATTCTATGACGTGGACGTGGACGTGGACGTGGACGTGGACGTGGCAGAGGTGCTGGGTGCACCTGCAGCTCCCAGGCCTGCGACGCTACTCATCCCCTGCGGACTGGCCCGGGGCCCTGGCATAGCCAGTGCCCGCTGCGCTGCTAGATGCATGGGCGCACCTGGAGCGAAGGCTCCTGCGCCTTCGACAGGCTCAGGGCATTAGTAGGGGAGGCAGATGCGGTGTATGAAGAGTGGTTGTTCCTCAAGGACACGATCCTCAGAGCACTAAAGAAACCATTCCCCTGAAGAGGAAAAGTAGAAGAAAGGCTGGCAAGCCCTCCTGGCTCAAGGGACATTGCAGTCCTCTTGAAAAAGAAAAAAGAGGTGTATACACAGTGGAAGCTAGGGACACTGGAGGAACACTATACAGCAGTGGTCTGCACTTGTAAGGAAATGGTCAGGAAAGCTAAGACGGTGACGGAGTTTAAGTTAGCCAAGGGAGTCCAGGACAATAAGAAGTCCTTCTTTGGGTATGTAGGGAGCAAAAGGAAAACACGTGGAAGTGTGGGACCCCTGCTTCACACCTCGGGACAGCTGGTAACGGGCACTCAGGAAACAGCTGAACTCCTGAATGTCCACTTTGGTTCAGTGTTTCACCGGACCAAGGGGAAGGACAAGCGAGATACGGCTCATAGGGGACATGCCAGGACTGTTAGCCTCCCCGCTGCGCATGCTGAGCGGGTGCAAAACCAACCAGAAAAGCTAGACGCGTAGAAGTCGGCAGGACTGGATGGACTTCCCCCGAGAGCGCTGGTGGAGCTGGCTGCAAAGCTCGTTCAGGCATCGTGGCGCACAGGGAAGATCCTGACTGGAAGAGGGCCAACATTGTGCCCATCTTCAAGAAGGGGAAGAGGGAGGACCCGGGCAACTATAGGCCAATCAGCCTAACCTCCTTCCCAGGGAAAGACCTGGAAAAACTCTTCAGAGAAGCTATGTGCGATACGCTCGTGGAGGGTAAGATCCTGAACGACAGCCAGCACGGCTTCGTCGCGGGCAGGTCTAGTCTTACCAAGCTCATCCCCTTCTACGACCAGGTCTCTCACCACCTGGACACGGGAGACCAGGTAGACATTATACACCTCGACTTCCAAAAGGCTTTTGATCTAGTATCCCATGATATCCTTGCGGGAAAACTGGAAGATTGTTGGCTTAACTGCTCGACGGTTCAGTGGGTGGAAAACTGACTCCAGAGTCAGGCCCAGAGAGTCCCCGTGAATGGATGTGTGTCGTCCTGGCGCGAAGTGGGCTGTGGTGTGCCTCAGGGGTCCGTGCTTGGACCGGTGCTTTTCAACATCTTTATCAAGGATTTGGATGTGGGGGTGCAAAGCTCGCTGGCCCACTTTGTGGATGACACCAAGTTGTGGGGCAGCGTGGTCACACCAAAGGGTAGGTTGCAGATACAGGCGGACCTGGACAGGCTGGAGAGCTGGGCGGACCAGGACCGGATGAAGTTCAATGCTCAGAAGTGTCAGGGGCTCCATCTGGGGGCAAACAATCCCCAACAGACCTCAGGCTCGGTGGCAACAATTAGACTTGCACCACAGCCGAAAGGGACCGGGGGGTAATGCTTGACCATTGCATGAACATGAGCCAGCAGTGCGATGCAGTGGCCCGCAGGGCAAACACCACGCTGGCATGCATCAACCGTTGCATCTCATGCAAAACTAAGGCAGTGATGTTCC